CATTTCTATCGGCCGATGGAAGCTCCCCAAAGGCAGAGTCACCAGCCGCTTTTACTGGCCGATAGAAGCAGCTGGTCACTCTGCCTTTGGGGAGCTTCTATCGACCGATATTCTATCGGTAGTAGATCAGGGTATTTTAGCCTAGGCTACCTGCATGGCGCTCCTAAAGGCAAGTTTTCTCCCCCCCTTCCCTTCCCATTTCTCTTCACCTCGTGTAGTTCTAACGAACGATGTGAGAAATGGTGGGGAAACGCATGGTTTAAATAGGCCTAAATTTTGGGGGTGGGGCTTAGTTTCACCTCATGCCTAGAAATCATGCTGGGCCTTCCTATTGGTGGAGGCCGTATTGTTGGAGAAACATGATATATATGGCAAAGCCCTCCTCCCATATATAAAAGGCACTACAGACAAAATCAGCAAGATGCTCCAAAAACACATTAAAACAGCATTCTGCACAAACAGAAAAATATCCACCATCCTAAGAAACCCTAAAGACAAAATCGAGTTAGAAAACCAAGGAGTATATGAAATCCCTTGCACCGCCTGCCCCACCACATACATTGGACAAACTAACAGAAGAATAAGTGCATGCATTGAAGAACACAAGAACTCAATCAAAAAAGAAGAGCCAACCTCTTCCCTGGTCCAACACCTCAAAACCACAGGACATGAGATTGACTTTAAAAATACCAGAACTATCGCCAAAACCGAACACTTCAACAACAGAATAATCAGAGAAGCCATAGAGATAGAAAAACGCCCACACAGCATGAATAAATGAGATGATACTTCCTGCCTACCAGCCATTTGGAAACCCGCCCTCATTAACAAACGAGTATTTAACATGAATGACACCAGACCCACACCCACGAGGGCCACACAAGATGCTACCACCACACTTCCATGTAGAAAGCACACTCATACCCACACAGAAGATGAGACACGACCACAAACCAGAAGCCGTACTGCAGCTGCATCACTACCCGCTTCAAACCCCTCTGACCCATACATGAAGCGAACTGATACCCACCATGAAGATGTGGCACAAAGCCAAAGAACAGGATCACAGCTCACCAACTCAAATCCCCCAGCAACTAAGACTAACCTGAGCACAACCAAGCCCCCACCTGAACAGAACACACCCCCAGCCAATCAGAACACAGCCAACCCCCCAACCAATCAGAACACAGCCAACCCCCCAACCAATGAGAACACACCCCCACCCAATCAAGTCACACCCCCACTAGCAGTTAAAAGGAAAAAGCAAGCTCACATTACGCCGAGAAGCACAGAGCAGACACAAGCCTGAAGATGATGAATGAGACTTCATCGAAACGTTGCCTAGATACTTCCAATCTTACGCGGGAGAAAACCCGAATAACCAAAGACCCACATACAAATACCCGCAAGAACCTCAGAATATATATATAGATTAATCAAGATACAAAAAGAGCCAAAAAAACAGACAGAAGATATTAGAAGCAGAACACAGCAAACTCCAAGACCAATAAACACAGACCAAGACTCTCAACCAATCAGGATGAAGAAAAAACCATTCTGGCACAGCAATAGGCTGCCCCAAATTTAAATCTGAAACCACTGTAAAAGTCTAACTCACAGACGAACACAATACAAAAAGCCTGATGATGGCAGATGAGATTCTGCCGAAACGTTGCTACAACTTTAAAAGCACAACTATAATGATGTGGGAAAATACCCGAACCAAGCTGAATACCATATATATATATATATATATATATATATATAT